TGCAAAAGGAGGCCCAACAAAGTACTGAGGACATAATACAGTACATTAACACACTTTTCAGAAGGCCAACATGTGTTTAAGATCCTTTTTTTATTGGTCACATGAAATATTCTAATTTTGTGAAATACTGGATTTGGGTTTTTTTGTCTTTAATCCATAATCATCAAAATTGAAACAAATAAAGGCTTGAAATATTTCACTTTGTGTGTAGTGAACTAATATAACATACAAGTTTCACTTTTTGAAACAAATGATTGAAATAAATGGACTTTTCCTCGATATTCTAATTTTTTGGCACATACCTGTAGTCCTGTCCTCGCTGTGTTTTCAGTCAGCTGTTCTCCTGGGCTGCTCCCTTGGTGCATCCCTCCTCCCTCTGCTATATATTATATCACGTTCTTCCTGTTGCCACTGGAGGTGTTTTCTCACACACGGGCACAACAAAGATGAAGATTCTCGGGTTGTATGTCGTGGGTTTGTCTTTTACCTTATTTGCTTCAGGTAAATTTAAATTACAAAAAAAACCAAAAAAAAACCACATTTCACAGATTGTGATTGTTTTTGTATTTTAACTAATGATTGTTGATCTTCCAAAAACAGCCCAAGTAAAACAGAACTGTTCAGCACCGGCGGAATACCCACACACCAGACTGGCTAAGAAATTTGCCACCAGAGAGACGTTTGACGCTGGTGACAAGGTTTACTATAAGTGCGCTGAGGACTTCACCGCATCCAGAGGCAGTCGGTCTGTGGAGTGTGTCGACGGGAAATGGACCAATCTGAATCTAAAATGCGAAAGTAAGCACCTCTTTTTACTTTTACTTTTTGCAAATAGGTGAGCAAATCCGGTTAAATGTTTTCCCCAGTAAATGACTGGTGTCGGTGACTAGTGATGTGTCGGTCGCGAACCAGTCGCTCTTTTAGGTGACAGAGCTGGCTCCTGAGCCCAGATGATGATGATGATGTTACACAACAGAATGATAGGTGATCTGTTTGGTGATCAAGGACACTCAGCATGGAGTCTTCAGGCTGAGTCCCACTAGTAGGCTACTGTACACTGCCAACAGTTAACAGGAATGTTATACACAGATCTCTGAATCCTCCCTCCAGATGTTTGTGACAACACCTGCTGAGCTTGGCATGTAGGATTTTACAGCGACTTATGTGGGTTGTTGTGCAACTCAGTAGTCGTCCCTGTCTTGTTTCTTTTCTGCCAAATCAGACGTCACCCCAGATTACTTTTCTGACCTCTCGCTGTGACTTTTTTTGCAGAGAAAACGTGTGGCAGCGCCGGAGCTCTGCCTAACGGCCAGTTCCGGTACGGAGGGAGCACACTCATCGGGGAGAGAGTCTATGCTGTATGCAATGAGGGGTAAGCTGTGCCTAAAAGAACCCATGCAAAAGTTGGTCAGAATTAGACTCTGGATGTGTTTGAGTAGCTAATTCACCTGTGTTGACAGATACACTCTGAAAGGACTGAACTTTATGACATGCAAGAGGTCTGGCTGGAGTGGTGAATTCCCGTCCTGTGAAGGTAGGCAGCATCACTGTTACTGGTTTACATCCTAAACCCATTGGTGTTATTGGCAAACCGTGATGGGCAATACTGTAATACTTAATGAGTGGGCAGGGTTGTGTTGAGTAACTACTACCTGATGTGACGCACATTCAAGGTATTTTGTTTAATCCCTTGATTAAGTCGAACCCATTTTCCATGACATCAGTAAAGTAGTAAAATAAAACAAACAAACATTGAATTGTTCAGTGTAAAGTCACACCTATGAATGATGAATTTTGGTCTCATTCAAAGAAGCAGGTTGGGGTTTTTGGATTTTCAGTGCGTTTTACAAATTTTCAAAAGTTTTAAAAAGTAAAAAGCAACTTCCATATTCATGTATCTGTATTCGTAATCAAACAATACCTTAAGTAATTAACATTTACAAGTGCCCAGTTGGGTACTTTGATACTTCAGTAATTATTGCTGAATGCTTTTTCTTATGACATTGAATTCATTTCACTTGTAATGGATTCCTTTTACATTATTGTATCACTACTTTTACTTAAGTAGAGGATCTGTACTATGCCCACAAACCATCAGTCTGCTGATTTATTCATGAGGAAAAGAAAAACAATCCCTTAATAAGTCAGATTTATTTTCTCATCAGTGGGAGAAACTACGTGCTCCCCCCCTGCAGTGGACAACTCGGTGAAGAGTGGTGGAAATGTTTCTGGGTACCGAGTGGGAGACAGCGTGACCTTCACCTGCAGTCAGGGTTTCCAGCTGGATGGCGCTCAGCAGATCACCTGTGGCCCCGATGGGCAGTGGCAGCCTCAGTCCCCTCGATGCCTGCCCTCACCAGACAAACAAAGTAAGTTTATATTTCTACTGGATAACTAAAATGTGTAGTACGACAAATTGTCCCCATGTTGTTCTCTCAACTGACACTTTCCTCTCTGGAATCCCTGTCCAGCAGGTGGATGCGGTGTGCCACTAACCAACGACGACTCTCACGCCAACCTTGCTGACCAGTACATCACAATTACTTCTTTTGCTTCTCGTGACAAGGTGCAATATGTGTGTGATGTTGGATACGTTCAAACAGGTGGCACCAAGTACCGCACATGTACTGATGGAAAGTGGACGCCACTGAAGCTAAAATGTGAACGTAGGAACCTTTTGTACACTTTTCACAGTTAACTAATGCACTGTACGTCTCCAATACAGTGGACATAAATCTAAAGGATAAAAATGTGAGATTTAAACTTTTAAAACTTTCCTTTTTCCTCATCTTCAAAAGGAAAGCTTTGTGGCTCTGCAGGAGAGATTCAAAACGGAGAGTTTACATATACTGGAGTAGAGTTTGGAGACACTGCTACAGCGGTTTGTAACAATGGGTAAGAAAATTTCCTGTGCTGGTTTCCTACATGCAGTAGTATTATTTAGACTTGAACTGTGTCTTCTACATCCTGTCCTCAGGTATGCGCTTGTAGGAAGGGCAACTAGACGCTGCATGAGTAATGGCTGGGATGGACGTGTTCCTGAGTGTGAAGGTCCAGTGGACTAACAAAACATTTGTTTACTGGATTTACATTTTCCTGAGTCTCTTTTGGCATTTTAAAACTACCATATCTCTTGCAGCTGTGGAATGTGCAGAGCCTCCAGTGGTGGCAAACGCAGAAATGATAGGCCCTCAGGAGCCGCCTTACACATACAGGACTGTGGTTCGCTATCAGTGTCACGTGGGAACCCTTATTGGACAAAAGGAGATTTGGTGTACCATGAATGGGACATGGAGCGCGTCTCCTCAGTGCAAAGGTTCTAGACAATCTTTGTATACCTTTTACTTAACCTTAGTTCATTGTTTTTGTCATGAATACAGTAAATACTGAGTTCGTTTTCCTCACAGAAACAACATGCCCGTCTCCAAATGTCCACAATGCCTTCTGGATGGGAGCTCGGAATGGCGGATATCTGTACAGGGACACTATATCAATAGAGTGTAAGATGGGCTACGACATGACTGGTCCGAACACCATTACCTGTGATAGCGATGGCAAATGGAAACCTGGTCTGCCCAACTGTAAACGCAAATGTAAGTAAACTCTTTTCTGCACACACCGCCCACACTTGTACAACTGTATGCACTTTAATGCAACACTTCCGCCATAACATCTGTTTACGAATTATACATCTGATAAATGTACAAGTTCAACTATATGTTTATTATTGAGGGCACAGTTGAAGGTGCTGTTGTTCACAAGTGTCTCTATATTTTTGTCCTCCCTAGCTCCATACATTAGAGGGTCAGAATATTAGGAACACCTCTGAACATAATGTAGTCCGGTACAACACTATCTTTACCTATGACTGCAATAATAAATATATAATTGAATTTTTACATTTATGACAATTTCACCAACAACAAACATTGTGGACACAGGTGACGACACCGGGCCCAACGCGCATCCCCCGTGAACATAGTCAACATGCGCTTATGGGCCAGTGGAGGTGATAAAGCTCTGTTCACATGGAGGCCCTCTTTACATTGACCTTATAATGTCTACACATACAGACATGTTGAGTTGGAGCCTCATCAAACTAGTTCCCCATGTTAGTTTTGAACAGATGTTAACCCCAGCAGAAGGGGCCATCTTTCGCTTGATGTTACATGATACAGAGCCTCTAGCAGCAAAGCTAGAAATAGCAACTCGTGCTTGCGTCATGTTAAGGTTTTTCAGGAGACACACTCAAGAACGTAAACAATCTTGCGTAGTTCAAAGCGTCTGTGTCCGCGTACTTACATAAGGCATGTTCAGGTCCTTAACACATACTGCTTTTTGTTTCCCCCCAGTGTCTCGCGCCCACCGGAGGAACTAATGTGGTGACTGTGTTCATCCCACCTGTAGTCAACCCACAACAGGCAGAGGAGGATGAAAATGGAGATTCTTAAGCTAACAATGTCTTTTAAAAATGCAGATCAACATTTTAATACACTAAGATTTTCTTATTTGCTCAAAATTTGTGTAAACTCAGACATTAAAATGTGTTTAAAGTGAAGCTGAAGTACAGTATATTTATTTTGATAAGTGTTTTGGGCAGTAACAAGTACAAACTTTTCTTTCATCTCTGTACAGTACATCGTTCTTTTCTTTTTTTAAACAGTTGATAATGTGTACCATCTCTACAGACTAAACGGTGTGACCATTTCAGGAACAAACAAGCTACAAGAAAACAAGAACACCAATTCCATTCATTTAAAAAGACAATACAAAATCCAGACATTTCTTTACATAAGCAATATCAATTCAAGTGCAAATATCATTATCAACTCTATGATACATCATAGTAAACTCTCATTAAAAGGCAACAATAAAAAAAAATGTATCAGGTTGCAGAAGCTGGTACAACGGGAAGTTTTAGAGAATAAGGGTACATAGGCCGAGCGAGTGCACTGGACTGCCTGCACGATGGCGTCTATGCCGAGACAGAAATGTAAGTAATCTCAGACTAAATTGTAAACCGACACGAGTTCTTTGTGGCTTGGCCCAGCATTGCCCTCAAGTTTGGCAGCACGGTCAAAGTCCCTTTTTGTCATCCTAAAGTTCAGGTTCTTAAATACTGGCTGGTACATAGAGTTGTACGATTCCACTTATTTTTATTTATTTACATGAGTGAAGACAACATCCTCCCTGAAATATTCATCAGGTATCTGTGACTAAGTGTTGATTCATTTTAGTTTCTTTTGGGAGCTGAAAATATAGATTAAGAGAAGGTTGAGATCATCAGTGTCACTTGCCACTTGACAGTGATTTGGCAGATCCTAATATGAAGCAGAGAGTTAGATTCTTACTAAACGTTATTTATTTTACCCTGTTTGGTTGCCGTTCTGAAATCACAAAGACTGTGTTTTACACATCAGATACTCAGATTATATTACATTCTAACAGACTTAATATTTTTAGTATTTCTCTGAATAACAGAGCAGTTACACACTGTATTGAAACCTAAACACCTTCTGCCCATGGTGTCTGACCAGTATTTATTACAGTGAGTCTTAACAAAACTGTGGCCCAGAACATATTTCACAAGCTGTTGACAGATTGGGTGTAACCAAAATTCTGGTTATTTTCATTCATTGCACTTTGTTAGGATGACGGGTTCCAAGTCTAGTACACACAAGAACATGACCCGCCCTTTCTGTGCGGTTTTGGACAGAACCAAATGTGAGTGGGGTGTTAGGAGGAGAGGAGGGGCGAGGGAGGAGAGGAGGGGCGAGGGGGGAGGGAGGAGGGCGTCTTTGGATTCGAGACAAGTCGAACATCATGGGCACAAAGTGTTATTGGGGGTTCATAAACAAATTAGCATAAACTAATTAGGATTAAAGAAGTCGAGCCTAGTCTAATTTATTTTCATTATTTACAAGATTGAAATATAAACAATAAAACTGGTAGTCCACGGACAGACACTGTGTGATTATTGACTTTGTGTAAGAACTAAAGCATTTCAGATTCTGAGCTTGCTTTTACTTTAAACCTACAGACTATTAGTGAGTATATCAGAAAGGCGATATGAGATTGAAGACTTAAAGTGACCTTTTATAAGAAGCAGCAAACATAATGTCCCTCAGACATTCATTTCCCTCTCTCTCCCTCTGACACGTGTTCCACTAGACATCACATAACCTCATTTCTGTGGCTCTCTATTAGTTTATTCATCTCCTAGAATATCCATTGTGTTCCCGAAATGACAAACCATGTTTTTGTTTTAAGTTGGCTTCAAGAAGAGCAACAAACATTATCTGAAGGTTGGAAAATGCCAGCACAGTCTACACAGATGGAACAAAACATAGATTAACTCTTAACAGTAACCCCCTTGAAAACCGCTCTAAGAGCTCAGATATTTTAAGGCTTTGAATGACCTGGAATGCAGCTGACACGAGTTTAACAATCGCTCCTCTGCAAGGACAGCGCACGGACACTGAGGATGGAACCAGGGTTACACAACACTGACAATCATACTCAGCGGTAGGAATTGGAGCTCATTTAAACGAACATGATAACAAGCTCTATCAAGTTCAAACAATGCACAAAAACATCACTCCTACTGTCTGAAATAGGCGTTTCTATTGTTTTACGTGGTTTCATTGCACAACAATAGAAACCAAAACCACTCACATACTTGACATCCCCACTAAACGTTTAAGCTCGGGACTGCAAACCAGTGCTGAATGGAGCTGACAAAAAAAAGGAAAAACTAAAATGGAAATGTTCAGTATTTCTCACGTCTGCATAGTATTTATTGTCAAAGCCTATGGGAAAATAAGAGGGTAAACATAGTAGTATGCGTCGTGTTTTTAAGCCCTGTGAGTGTTGCGGTATGTGGCCTGTAAAGTGGAAGGGGATGTCAGGGGGAAAGGGGGGCTCGTGATCCGGTGTGTCAGCAGCTGTGTGACCTTTTTACTTGTATGGTCGCAGAAAAGCAGAGACTTTGCTGCTTATGAGACGTATGAAGGAGCGGGGAAGCATCTCGTTGGACTCCCGAGTGGTGTACTTAAAGTAGTTGTTTGGGTGAGCCAGCACATCAAACAGAGTCTTAATCAGTTTTTTATCCTGTAGGGAGGAAGAAACAGGTACAAACATATTATTGTCCTTAGTAATCGTCTTGGTCATATTAGAAATGGTTACACAATGCTTGAAAACAAATTAGCACTTGTGTTATGACAGTATTGACTAATCCTTTTAGCATTAATGTGCCATCTGACTCATGCAAGAACCAATACCTTTGCAAGCAACAGCTTTGTTTACCTCAACTGCACCTTTTCTGTATAGTATTGCTTGACTGAAACACCTCCCACAGCTGGTCTTTTCTGTTTCAACAATAAATGAAGAACAAAGAAAGAAGTAAAACAGCTAACCTTGAGGATTTCCTGATGGTTTTCTGATGCGTAGAGTCTTCCATCTCGAACTATGTCCTCTACTAGCTGCTCATAGTCCTCTAAATTCATGAAAACAATACAAAACCCAATGATTACTAGTCACGTCATGAAATACTTTAGCATATCTATAAAATGGTTCAGATGACGAGAAACTCCCTTTGACACCATGTACTGTCATCTAATGAGCCTTTTTAGGCCATTTAATGTGTTGTGTTCTCCAAAATGTACAGAAGAGGATTTGGGCCACTGAGGGTGCAGGCAGAAATCACAGATGAGTACCTCATAACCTAGACAAAGAAAACCAAAACCATCTGCATGGCTACATATTACTAGAGGTAACATGTTTTATTTTTTGTTTACCAGACCATGTAAGACTATTTGTTGCTTATGATTTCAAGTTTTCTCTTATAAGAATAAGATTGTTTTATCTTTCAAAAGTTTCTCAGTTTGCAAATTATAACTATTTAGACTGTCTCTCTCTAGTGAAACATCTTGGTGTGATAAAGGAGCATGCTACATACCATCATAAGTGACGTAGGGGATCTGAAAGCCTCTGGCGCTGTTGGCCTCATTGGACTTGAAGTTAATCCAGAGACGTCTGGAGCGAGCTGTGAAGGCGATGGGCCGCTCGTACGTCTGACATGTCTCATAGGTGGTGATGGATGTAGCTGACCCTTGCGGGAGTACAAAGAGGAGAAAGATGACTAGGTTTTCAATAATGTTCCTTATATGGTGCATCTGCATATAAATATAAGCCATTAATTCCAGTGAACCACAACCAGAAATAGGGGCACTCACAGTTCTTCCTCATAACCAACACATCTCCACACTCGTCCTCTGAGGGCAGGAAAATCTCTGGCACCACAATTAGGATCTTGCGCTTGCTGGGCGGGTTGATGTTCCAAATACACTCCACATTAGCAGGATAATTACCAGGATAGTTTGGTGACTCAATGTAACCCATGAACTCACCCATCTCTCCACCGCATTGCCTGTCTAGACATACACAAACAAAACAAATCAGACTTCAGCTTAGGTTTAGGAAATGTGTAAACAGCAAAACCCCAATTTTCAAACTCACTCTTGCACTGTGAGACACTTGTGGCCCCATCAAAATCTGTGGTGGTGTTCCCAGGGCAGGAGATACAGTAGTTCTGTCTAAACTCTGTCTGATAGGTCCCCACTGGGCAGCGGATACACCGGTGTACTGTTGTGTTGTAGTAATGACCTGGAGAGCACTGAACTGCAGGGTCACATTGAACAAACACATTAGTGGGCAGGGTGGCGCAGATTAATTACATAATATTTAAGTATATTTTCCTGCAGTTCATGAAGAGCAAAAGCTGACCTTTGACTTCACAGTCGTGGAAGGAGCTGGCACCTTCCCGCTTGGTGCTCAGACCTCCTCCACAGGGGAAGCACAGGGTCCGTCCCAAATCTGGCTGGTAGGTTCCCTGAGGACACAGCTGGCAAGGTTTGAACCCATCGATGGAGAAGGACCCTGTTGGACACTGGCCTGATTTACAGAACACAAACAGGAGGTTTACCAAGGAAAGCAGACGTTTGCTGGATCAGATTTACATGTTTAACACTGTCTCTGGGATTTTAGACCAGGCTACCTGCACAGGAGGAGATGTTTCGTGCTCCCATAGGCCCGTGGCCATCACTGCCAGGGCAGAGGTCACAGGCCAGCTGCCCCTCCTTCTCCTGGAAAGTGCCGGGTGGACACTGAACACAGCGTTCTTGCTCACCATGGTAGTAAGACCCCGGCAAGCATCTGACTGAGAGAATACCCACAGTGACTCCAGTCAAAGATGACACTTCATTTTGATCACACACACACACATAAATGCAAACCTTTAAATCTATCTTAGTTTTCTTGTCAACGAATGTGCTCCAAGAACAAGGGCACAGTAAACTTGAAGTCCAGCTGTGCGTATGAATGCAATCCAATACAACAACCCTGACAAAACTGATACTGTCATAACGTTTCAATATCAAAGACATTGTCAGAAATATGTAAAATATATGTTCATATTTGAGGCCATAGATAAATGAGATATTCTGCTTGACTACATTTTAGTGAGAGGTGTTTCACATTTTTGGGAACAGATTTTTAGAAACACCTCAGAACAGCGCCCTGACTATGACCTCGATGTTAACACATACAGTACTCTGTGACAGTGTCATTAAACTGAACACAGCATTGCCATTGCTGTGTGTGTGTGTGCGCGCGTGTGAGTCCGCACTGCAGATGGCCGCCTCGGTTCTGTACCGCAGAAAGATCCCTTGGCCAATAAATATGATTATCACTATCAGAAAAGTAGGTTTTATGGCAGACAGGTGAATTTTGTATGCATCAGAGTACAGGTGTACCTAATATAGTGGACACGGAGTGTATACTTCACCTCAGTTCCCTGTATTGTACATTATAACAGCATATGGCCTAAGATAAGGTTAAATTTGTCCTTACAGTTCTTACATCTAGTCAGTTTTAACCGTACTGTAAAACAGCTGACGCTTCCGGTCCTGCTCTCCAGTCTTACCACATCGGCCATTGTCCCTCTCCCAGCCTGGGCCACAGTTCTCCGGAATGGGAGAAGCCTGGGGAAGTTTTTGGGCCACCTCATATTCCAAACCGGCAACTCGAATCAGGAAGCGCTCCTGGTTTATGGACTTCTTCAAAGCCTTGATGTACGTCTTAACCTGCTTCTCCATTCGCTGCCTCAGACAGCTGAGATTGCAACTGCCTGATTATGCATAAGGAAATAAAACTCTTCATTAAAAAATGAAATCTGTTAGCTGTACAGTACAATGGTCACAAGGCTGTGAGCGTTGGCAATGTTTTGTTTTAAAGGAAATGACTGACCTGTAGTGTCTCCAGGTTTGACCTCAGCTTCCAGCTCCAATGTAATGTGTGTAACCTCTTTGTTAGTGGGGTTGCGAGCACGTCGCCCTTTAGCTTTCTTGGAGGAGTCACATTTAAGGTTGACAAATGTTACCAGGCAGTTGCTGCAGGGCTGGCCTCCTCCTGTGGATGCATAATATCACAGTGTTTGTCAGACAGTATGGTACAAAATATCAGTAAACACCAATCACAGGTTAATAATCATTCAGAAAAACCATTAACAGTTACATTTTGGCTGTGATTTGGCTTTGATTGTTTTCATTTTGATTAATCTGCTGATTATTTTCTCAGTTAATCAACAAATCATTTAGTCTATAAAAAGTCAGATACTCATGGAAATGAAATGCGACAGAAAAACACAACAGCAACTGCTCACATTTCAGCAGACGCTGCCAGCGAATGCTTGGCAATGAATGACTGAAACTGTTAATCCGGTGTAAAAAATAGTTGCATATAGATTTTCTGCCAATCGTCAAACTGATTTGAATCATATACCTCCTTTACATCTCTGTACATAACAGCATACTGTACGTACACAGCAGCACGTGCAGGTGAAGACTGACCTGGCCCTAGTGTTCGTCCCCTGTCCTCTGTCCGGCCAGTCATTTTAGGGTGTAAATGACATTTGGCATTTTTAATCTTGAAAGAAGCTGTCTGCTTAACTGGAGGAGCAGAAGTCTCTACAGACAAACAACAACAGCGAGTAAGAGCACACTAAAACATCAGTATCGCTGCAGAAAGCCCAGACCATCTGCATAGCTGTCATTGACAGATTATTGTTGTTGATGTTGAAGAGTGTTTGAATATAAGAATCTAGAGGGCAGCGAACCTATGCAGCTCTGACTGCTGCTGGAGTTGAGCCTGGCGGGGGACTTTCCTCTGAGGATGGGAATACCACAACTGACCGAGTAGCTGTTGTCAGATTCTGCAAAAGGTCATGCAAAAAAAAAAACAACAAAAACAAAAAAAAGTTTACAAAATGTTTGGAATTTTGAGTTTAAGATGTAAATGTGTGGTGTTTTATGACTGTTCTTCCACAGGGAGGGACATACCTGCCAGATAGTGAGCCTTAGAGGCACAGGTAAGAGAGCAGCTCTCTTTCTTTCCCGTTTTGCTACAGGTCAGAGTGGCCTTTGGTGCTACCAGTCCAGGAGGACATTTCACCAGCTCTGAGCAAAAACAAAACCCATAATGAATCACACTGTCAACAAAGAAAGCTGAGAGGAAGAGAGAAATCACCTAGGCGCTACATCGGGGACACTGATGTGTGCGTGCATGCCTTACAATGGATTCACCACAGGGGGGCAGTGCTGCTACATACCAATACAGTCTTTCTTGTTCCAGTGCAGCTTGTACCCTGGTGGACAGGTACACTCGTAGCTTCCCAGAGTGTTTATGCAGCCATATTTACAGCCCCCACGATTTATACTGCATTCATCAATATCTGAGAATAGATATATTAACATATAGACATTTAGTAGATGTGCATAAGTAACACTAAAAGAATTAAGTGCACACACTTATCTTGACTCTAAAACATCAAAAAGTGAGACTTTTTATTGATAAAAATTATATCAAACACACCAAGAACTTATGTCATCAGTTATAAATAATCTGGAGTCAATTTTCTTCAAAATGAAAGAGAAAGACACATTAAGAAACAATACAGCACTGAATGATGAGTTCTTGTGAGGTCAGTTCAATTCTTTCTGTCAGAGTCAAATACTGCGAAGATTAACGCGTTTGCTTGTAAACAGAAGTGATTCCTCTTCCTGACGTCGCCACATTTAATTTCATCGTCAAAACACCTCTGCTCTTCAGAGAGGATTATTGTGGTACGCACTAAATTATAGGCGCTTTTTCAAATGCATGCTATGCTCAAGCCACTAAAAGCATCCGGGATCCAGATGTAGGCTGGCTACCATTGACTGCAGACAGAAAATTAGTTTAGTGACTAGACCTGAGGATGCAGTAGGCTGCGGACAAGTGGCAAAAGAGACTGAGTTAATGGCAGTGATTGACGATCTGGCCTACTGATATGAAATGCTCTTTCTTGTCTCATTCAATTATTCACCCTGAATAAAAACCGTTTGCGTGTCGCTGCACTCCCAGAAGATGATGATGATTTCATCAATAGTGCTATGCCAATGTGTAGCCAGAGCAGCTTGGAAATGTTGTGAGAGATGCACTATGTATCCTCTGCATCACACCACTCGATTTAAAGGACAAAGAACTCTAATGAATATCTGATGGAAGCAGAGCTCATCTGCCAGCAACTGTTGTTGTTCCTCCCATATGGGTGAAATGTAACCAAATGGATGTATTCTGACCTCGCTGTAGATCTCTTTAGTCTTTTGTTTTTCTCGCATATTCTCACAGAACAGACCAGAGAAGTGCCAAGAAAGAAAAACACTCTGACATTTAGACTCAACAAGTGCTTTGTGTCATGGAGAGGAATTTTGGAATGGGTTGGAGAGTTCATGGAAATGTCATCGTCTATAATTCTAATCAATTTTTTTTGTGATTATTCATCAATGTCAGCAACTACAGGTCCACACAACAACATAATGCGAGTTTTAAAGTGGGCATTTTTTCCCCCACAGGCACCGTCTGAACAGCTTTTCTGTATTTCATAATTCCACTAAAGTCTTACTGTTAAGATATCAACTTAAACTGTATGTGTTTGGGGGGATCAAATATCTGTCTTGTCCTTGGATCTGTTTTCACATACAAGAAAGCATTTCTGATGCAGTCAGGATCAATGAGGTCAAGTCAAAATTACTTAGTTATTTAGTCACAACTACTCTGAGTATATTTTTTTTACGAGATAAGCAAAAGAGGCTGGATTGTTTTGCTAGCTAAGAGGGAGAATGGGTGGATATACTCTCACTTGGGAGGAATGTTGACAGGTCTAGGCAAAATGCTTGACAGCAGGTCACTGATCTAATTGAGTTTGTTTTAGGGTAAGTCTATTGTTAAACACTGAGCACAGCTTTCTGGATTGTTTGGCAGTTATATTTCGGTTGATAAACCACACAGGAAAAGACCTAAACTTGGTTATGACTGCGGGTGAGGAAAGTACAACAGGGAGCACCATAAATCTCTGGGGTTATCTAGCAGTTCCGACAACGCCGGTGAAAAGCAAGGGGAAATCATTCATCACCAGCTCTCACAACAATGGTATGGGGAGTCATTTATGCCTGACCATCTTCTCCTCTCAGCAGCTCGGTGTGGCCTGATCAGTCTATCATGTCAGTGAAAGACTTACAAATTCCCTTAACTTGCAGCTAATATTGCTGCCTACTGTACGTGCTGAATGTCCTGTGCTGAATGATCCCAAGAACCCTGTAGGTCCACTCAGAATACAGTTCTGATCGAAGTGAAAGCACTACCTCCCAGCAGAATACAGTTTAACAGCATCGCAAACCACCTAAAAAAATGTTTTCATTGCAGGAGCTTCATAGAAGTGGTATCTGTTGCCGGTTAACTTTAATGCATAGTGCATAATTCTCTAAGATGTTCCTGTTATTATGTGTATATCCTAGTTAGACACATTTTTAAAGGCCTTTTAAGCTTTTTATTTATTTTTTACTTTTTTACTTTTTGAGGGTGTAACAAATTGCATTGTTGTGTTTGTGCATACCCCATGATCCCACACTACACATCACCACTCCCTCAATGTCTCAGTAACATTCCTTATTCTACATTCAGTTTCAACATTCCTGATCAGTAGACCTGTCAAATTACAAACACAGAAGTAATCACTGCAAAGCTATGTATTTCAACTGCAAGCACCCTCTCTCTCTCTCCCACAACCACTGTGAGGCCCTGAGGCATTGGAGGCAGCAGCAGATTCTAAATGGCAATACAAGCTCCTTCAAAGGGCTGCTGCAGCACCCTGATGTGCTATGGCGGGCCTCTTGCTGCCTGCCACACACCTCCTGTCACCAAAGGCTGTTTCTGCTATCTGTACCACATCAGAGTACAGTAGGTAGCTGCTAATACTTGATGGACATGCTCATATCCTACTGTGGCTTTTCATGTTTTAGTCCATTAACAGCAGCACAAGTTGTCTACAACTTTTTATTACCGTCAAGTGTAGGGTAAGTTCTTTGATTGATTTTCTGCCCTCCAGGCAGCCACCTGTTTCAGTTCATTTGAAAATCAACTTGCATAGACTTTACACTGGCCTGAGACAGGTAAACCATCAGAATGAGTATTTAGTTACATTTAGTTTCATCCCAGCTGGAACCATTGAGCTGGTTTCTGATTGACTGATTGATTGAACTGATGTGCTGGCTCACCTCCGCAGTGTGCCAGTCCATAGAGGACGTAGCCTTTATGACAAAGGCACTGGAAACTGCCAGCAGAGTTGACACAAAAGTGGTCACAGGCGCGGTCGAAAGAGCATTCGTCAATGTCTGTGTAGAGAGAAAGAGATGTCGTTAGAAACTTCTCAAACAGTTCAACAAATTACAAGAAAAAACATCTTTAGATTTTCAAACAGAGCTCCCCCTTGTCCTCCTGACATGGCATGTTTTTCAGTTCCCATCTTTTGTATTGTATTCACTGCAACGGGTCAAATCACATGGCACAGCAACAACAAGAAAAGGTGCATTTTGAAAAGAAGTCATCTCCTGTTTGTTGTTCGGTATCATGGTTGACCTCTTGCGGTCTTTCAGCTTTCCATTTCGATGCACCGAAATGGAATTTTCAAAGGATTTTTGAAATAAAAAGCAACTGCAGCAGGAGTCAAAAGAAAGTCTGCTTTTCTTCTGATAATAAGAGCTGAAGGGCTGTTTTTCCTCCCCACATAAAACCTGCCAATCACTTTCCCTTTCCTCCTCTTAACCATAAATGTTCCACAGTTGTTTGAAATCCTATAATCTGACCTGTCAGTCTTTTGTTCTAAGGTCATATGGGTATATTATGGGTTGAAAAATTGCTCTAAAATCCACTGATCAGTGTAATATTTAGATAAATGTCTCATAGAATGAATGAATGTCTCTGTTTCTCATCACACTTTCAAATTGTGACAGTTCTTTTCTTCTTGTTGATAGCGGTGTTAGGCAAGTTAGGTGCAACGTCATAAAATAACACAATGTACTGTAATCAGTTAGTTACTGAGAGAAAATATGAAATTAAATTAGTTACTAATCAAAATGTTGGTGATTTCAAAAGGTTGCATCTGATCGAATTCTATATATTCAGTTATATGTGAAATACAACAGTCATTCTGTTGCTCTGCATCTTTTCGTTGTGCAGGAATGTGGGTCAACAAATGGAACAAATCTGAGTATAACACCATCAAGGGTAGGATGGCTTACAAGGAGCTGTCTTAACATCCAGATAGGCTCCATTCATTTGGCAGCACGCGCTCAAATTCTGATCATTGGTTTTGATCAGTTCTCTTGTTTGACTTTGCACCACTTTTCGTCTGCCAGTCAAATCATTCCTCATTGTTCTAAGCAACCTGAGTCTGCCATGCCTGGCCGCGACAACACCAAGGTGGGTGGCCATGTTGCCGGACAAGAACCCCTTCCAC